TATGTGATTTTGCATTTCCTGGTAGGGGGCGTGTGCAAGGCACTCGCGCACCCTACCCGCGCCGCAATTAGTGGCCGTAGCTGTCAATCACCGGGTTCCGGCAGGTGATTACTCGCTGGTGCCTGGTGATTGCCGAGCATCTCCAACGGGGAGGAGAACTGTCTGTAAACAAAACAGTTCTCCCTGTCAGCTCGTGCACACTGCTTTGGATGGCTGTGCAGAGCAAAAATTTAAATCCCAGTATATATACTGCCATTTGTAAACGCTATAAATTTCATGTAATCCAATTAATTTACACGTATTGGGATTTTTTTTATAGCAAAGACATGTAGCAGAATACATTTTGGCCTAAATTTGTGACGAAATTTTTTTTTTTTTTTTTGACAGACACGTTTAATAGCAAAAAGTCAGTCTTTCTTTTTTTTCCCCAATTCTCATGTATTTTTTTTTTTTTTATTATAGCGAAAATAACCCCAAAACGCACAGGTGATTAAATACCACGGAAAGAAAGCTCAATTCATGGGGAAAAAAAGGACATACATTTCATTTGGGTGCAGCATTGCATGACCTCACAATTGTCAGTTAAAGTAACGCAAAACATGGCCTGGTCAGGAAGGGGGGGGGGGGGGGTAAATCCTCTCGAGTGCAAGTGGTTAATGGAATTTAAACTGAAGTATATCTTCCCAAAAAGATGACTTTCCTGGTTTCAAATATCAAAGTATTTCACCTCACCTGGAGGAGATATCCCATTTTTTTTTTTTTTTTTAAAGCGGAGCTCCACCCAAAAGGGGAAGATCTGCTTTAAAGACTGGTCCCTCACTCCCCATTAAGGGGAGCGGGTACCAGAATATGACAGGTACCCGCTCCCACCGCCTAGGTGATCAAAAGTGGAAGTTGTCCTACCTCCCTCCCCGTAGTCTTCTGGGACACGTGACAGGTCCTAGAAGACTACGGGACCATTCACAAAGCACAGTGCTTCTTGAGCATGTGCAGTGGGCACCCGGCTGTGAAGCTGCAAGCTGCCCCAGCCTGGTGCCCATACTGAAGATGCCGGCACCTGGAACACCGGACGGCTGGTGAAACGGGCTGAATGGAGGACACCGAGGGATTATGTGACAGGTGAGTGGCTGGTATTTAAAAGTCAGCAACTACAGTTTTTGTAGCTGCTGACTTTTCTTTTTTGACAGCGTGAGTGGAGCTGTGCGTCCAGTCAACATAAACAGGAAAAATGGAGGAAATTTGCTGGACTTTAACACCATCACACAACTTAGGGATTCTCTTCTTACAGTCCACAGGAAGTGATAAAAAATCTTATAGGAGAGAACAGAGGGAGGAGCTCATAGGTCTGCTTCTTCTCCTTCACTGTCCAGTGGCAAGCTGGGGGCGGAACATAACCCTTTCATGATGAGAGGTTATTGATGTCTAGATGCTTAGGCCAAATTTTCGCAGCGTCATTGCGCATTGGTTAAATGATGAATAATTCTGACAAATTAAGACATTGTTTAAAAGTGACACTGAACTCAATTTATTTTTACATCATTTGTTCTGAAAAATCAAGCATACCACGATTCAGTTTTGTTATTTTCACTTTAAAAGTCTCTTACTATTGTTGTCAGGCTTCTTATTTGTCTCATGGATTTTATTTATTTCAGGTACTTGTATAGCGCCATCAATTTTATGCAGTGCTTTGTGGGTGTGTATGTGTATATGTGTGTGTATATATATGTGTATGTGTATGTGTATATATGTATGTATGTATATATGTATATATATATATATATGTGTGTGTGTATGTATGTGTATGTGTATATATATGTATATATATATATATGTATATATATATATATATATATATATATATATATATATATATATGTATATATGTATGTATATATATATATATATATATGTGTGTGTATGTGTGTATGTGTGTATATATATATGTATATGTGTGTGTATATATATATATATATATGTATATGTATATATTTTTTGTACATTCACATCAGTCCCTAACCCTCAAGGGCGTACCATCTAAGGTCTCTAATTCACATATTAGGGCCAATTTAGACAGGAGCCATTTAACCTACCAGCATGTCTATGGAGTTTGGGAGGAAACCGGAATACCAGGAGGAAACTCATGCAGTCACATAGAGAACATGCAAACTCCAGGCAGGTGGTGCTGTGGTTGGGATTCGAACCAACGACCCTAGTACTGCCAGGCGGAAGTGCTAACCATTTAGCTACTGTGCTGCCCATGCATGCTCCCTATCTTCCAGTGATGCACCAATGAGTGAGCTGTGCTCTTATTTCTGGTCACATGCTGCGCTCCATGTGTATTACAAATCCCATAGAGCAGAATGTGTTTGCATGGAGATGTGTAGTCCCTCTCAGGGGCAAACAGGAGAGGGTGGCTACGTTCACATACATAAGGGGCACATGGAGAACAAATGTAGCCACCCTAGAATTGGAAGTCTGAGAATAGCAGAAAAAAAGGTTACATTTGAGAAAAAAGGAAACAAAACATTGCAGGTACATTATACAGGCGTACCTCGGTTTACAAATTGAATGCGTTCTGCAGGACTTTTCGTATTACGAAAAATTCATAAACCGAGACGCGGTTTCCCATAAGAATGCATTGAAAACCAATTAATCCATTCCGAAGATCAGAAAAAAGTAAAAAAGTATTTTCAAAACTCTTTGTAAAGTGCTCTTTAAAGGCATAAATACTGTACAGGGACATGATAAAAAAAAAAAAATCGTAAATGCATTGAAAACCAATTAATCCGTTCATATTGCAAAAACAAAATTCGTAAACCGAAAATTACGTTAAATCAATGGATTTTGATTCGTAAACTGAAAATTACGTTAACTGAAACGTTCATAAACCGAGGTACTTGTATTTAAACATATGTCATGTTGTAAAGTGCTATATAAATCGTGTATTATAATAATTAATAATTTATTTTATAAAAAATTGTGGGTTTAGTGTCACTTTAATTTAAAAAAACAAAACAAAAAAAAAAAACCTTTTTTTTTGGCTGGCATGCTGTGGCTTGCTGATGTGCAAAAATGTAGGAAAACAAATTTTTTTTTTTTTTTTTTTTACTTTTTAATTATTTTATAATTTTTTTTTTTTTTTAATTAGCGAAACTGTATCTTACACTAATAAAATGATTGTACGCCCATATTTTATTTTTTTTAAAAAACAAACATGTCATACTTACCAGCTCTGTGCAATGGGTTTTTGCACAGGGTAGCCCCAATCCTCTTCTTGGGTCCCCTGCTAGCTTTGCTGCCAACCCCTCTCCTTGCTATGGGGGCACTCATGCAGGCTTGCTGCTGAGCTGCACCCTGTGTTGACATACAGAGCGCAGCTTGTCCCTGCTTCTTGCTGCCTCTTCTCTGGCTGTGATTCACAGCAGCAGGAGCCAGTGTCTTTTGCTGCTGTCTTTAAGCCAATGAGGAGGGAGAGAGCATAGAGAGCCGGTGCTCTCAGGCACAGCACTGGATAAAGATCGGGCTCAGGTAAGGGGTGGGGGGTGAGACAGTGGGCTGGGGGGAGAAACTGCATTCAGAAGGTGTTTTTTTTTTTTTACCTTCATGCAGAAACTTCAGCCTTCACAACCACTTTAAATGGATGGCACTGCTGCAAATTAACACTACAGCCGGAAGTGTCCATCAGCAGGCTGAAGACTTCCATTTTTGTCATTGTAGCCTCCAGCCGGACATTGAGGTTGTGAAAGCGACAGCTGGGATTGAGGTTGTGAAAGCGACAGCTGGGATTGAGGTTGTGAAAGCGACAGCTAGGATTGAGAGCGAGCAACTGTGCCAAGTGTAGGCTTCTGGCTTTGAAATGGGGCGACATTTATTGTCATATCTATAGCACAGGGCATCGTGACCGTTATTATACAGCTTGTGGATGGGAAGTCAGGTCACAAGGTGGTAAATCTCAGGAAACTGAATGCACAGAAGTCCATTGGCAGGTACAACGGTCCCCATTTATGCATTTCTTGGTATTTAGTTATTTGCCTGCAGTTCTACTTTAACAATAATGCACGTCCATCAGAATGTTTTACCTTGGTGTGTTTTTCTGCTTTTTGTTTTGCAGGAGCGAGCTCGATCTACATGTGTAAACTGTGTAACTTGTTCTCTCCCAATCATTCGGAGCTCCTGCTACACGTGACCGAGAATCATTCCAAGGAAGGCCTAAGTCCCGATCATATCATCATCCCCCTCCGACCACTTGTACCCTCCGGGAGGAACACAGAAGGTGCGCTGACCGTTTATTTTGGTACATTTTAAGAGACGTCCCCTCTTGTGATTAAAGCGTTACGAAATCCTCAGCAGTACAATCAGTCTGTATATGCAGTAAAGCATGCTTGTTATATGCACTGTGGAACCTAAGGGGTTAATCCTCTGCATTGTGTAGAAATGCTGTTTGTTTCCTGACTTCTCTGATCCTCCCCTTCTTCGTGTCCTCCTCTTATAGCCTGATAAGACATATCGTGTGGAGACACTCTAGCAATACACGCCAAACTGAGCATGTTTAGAGAGGTGTTTTTTTTTTTTTTTTTTTTAATCTTGGGAGAGTGCATGTGAACAGTACAAGGCCAATCAGCACTGTCCAGACAGAGGTCAGGGGTCTTGCATCCTCCTCGTGCAGAAAGAAAACTCCTACAAGCTTTAACCAGTGCTTTGCTGAAGTCACAAGACTGCTCTAACTGCTGATGAGCAAAGGTCCAATCAGCGCTGTCCAGACAGAGGTCAGGGGTTCTGCATCCTGCTAGAGCAAAATGAAAACTCCTTTTACGAGCTTTAACATGTGCTTGGCTGGACACTGATTGATAGAAATCAATACGACGGCTCTAACTGCTGATGGGAAAAGGTATTTAGCAGTTTATATTTACTAAAATAATTGCATTTCCATGGTGTGTGTACTGTGTGTACTGTCTGGGGAGACCGGATATAGTCCGGGGAATGCGGGGTCCGGGGGAGACCAGATATAGTGAATGCGGGGTCCGGGGAGACCAGATATAGTGAATGCGGGGTCCGGGGTCCGGGGAGACCAGATATAGTGAATGCGGGGTCCGGGGAGACCAGATATAGTGGATGCGGGGTTCGGGGAGACCAGATATAGTGGATGCGGGGTTCGGGGAGGAGACCAATATAGTGAATGCGGGGTTCGGGGAGGGTTCGGGTTCGGGGAGGCCGGATATAGTGAATGCGGGGTTCGGGGAGGCCGGATATAGTGAATGCAGGGTTGAATGCGGGGGGAGGCCGGATATAGTGAATGCGGGGTCCGGGGAGGCCGGATATATAGTGATATGGGGTTCGGGGAGACCGGATATAGTGAATGCGGGGTCCGGGGAGGCCGGATATAGTGAATGCGGGGTCCGGGGAGACCGGATATAGTGAATGCAGGATCCGGGGAGACCAGATATAGTGAATGCAGGATGCGGGGTCCGGGGAGACCAGATATAGTGAATGCATGCGGGGTCCGGGGAGACCGGATATAGTGAATGCAGGGTCCGGGGAGACCAGATATAGTGAATGCCGGGGAGACCAGATATAGTGAATGCAGGGTCCTTTAGTAACGCTTTAGCACACTGACTGTAGTGATGAAAGGGAATAATGGATGAGGCTGGTGGACCCCTCTTGTGTCCTGAGGATTGACAGGGAGTTTTATCAGAAAAGCTCGTTGGCTTCCCGCTGATTGTAGAACTTTTCAAACGTTCATGAAAGTATTTTAGCCTTTTTGATTTATTTAATTTACTGAAGGTATGATTTTTGTAAAATGTTCCCACTTTGCAGAAAAACTTTTTTTTTTTTTTTTTTTTTTTTTTTTTTCTGTGGTTCTTTTTATGTCTGAAGCTGCTGAGTTTGTGTATTTTTGTTATTTACTCGCTTTTGTTTTTTTATTACCTTTTTTTTTTATTATTTTTCTTTTTTTTTTTGTTTTTTTTTTTAATATATTTTGAAAAGAGTAACATACTGATCCTCCCCCTCCTCCGAGGTGTTCTATGCATCCTTGGGTGGGAGTGGAATCCTTTTTGATGTCTGTTACATTCACGGTAATTGCTGAGTTCGCAGGGTTTCGATTGATAGCAAGGTTACTAAAGCAACCGTGAGCTTTTATTAAGCCAGGAAGCCAGCCCTATTAATTTAACTTGACTAGTGATGATGTTCCCTTTAAATTTTGTATGCTGGGGGAGAAAGGGGTAATCTGCCCTCCATAGTTCTTAAGCCATCAACATGCTGGAAGAAAGAGAAAAGGTTATGCCAGCTATAGATGAACATCTGAAGTTTTAGGATATTTTGATATTGGAGCTGCCATCACCGACTACATTGGCACATTGCTGTTCAGTTTCGCTGAATCCTTACGTCACTGCTGAGTTATTCAAAGACCGAGAATCCGTGTAGCTTACCTAGACTTCCAGCTTTGCTAGCTGTGTACTGATTCCAGTGTAGTGATTTATTAGATAGAAAAGGGTAAGGGTTACGGCACAGAGATTTTACATCCCGCATTGGCATCTCGATATTTCCAAGCTGTACTTTAAAGTTTTTATTAATGGCAACATTAGAAGAGATGCAGCCACTGTTTTCTGTGACCTTAAGGGCTCGTTCACACTTGGCTGTTTTACCAACGCTTGCCAAACGCCCCTATAGCGTTTGGCAAGCGTTGGTCCGGCGTTTGCGGAGCGTTTTTAACACTCGGCAAATGCTCCGCAAACGCCGCATGCGCGGTTTAGCTGCGGTTGCTAGGCGTTTGCCAAGCGTTAATAATGCCCCACAAACGCCTATAATGCAGTTTGAGTGGTGTTACCGCTCCGCAAACGCCCCGCAACCGCGTCGCAACCGCACCGCAAACGCCGGCCGGGCGTTTGCGGAGCAGCACCATAGACGAGAATAGGAGGCTTCAACGCCTCCTAAATCGACCAGAGGCATCCGTTTTGCCGCGCCGCGATGCGACGCAAACGCTCCCATTAGAACAGCACCATGTGCTGTAATGTGCAGAATTGGCAGAGGCGTTTGGGAAGCGGTAAAAAACGCTTCCCAAACGCCTCTCTGCCGCCTGCACACAACGCTAGTGTGAACGTAGCCTTAGTGAGGCCCAGGAGCGGCGGGGGGGAGTCAGACCAGGAGCTCAGAGGGGCGAGTCAGACCAGGAGCGGGAGAGGGGCGAGTCAGACCAGGAGCGGGAGAGGGGCGAGTCAGACCAGGAGCGGGAGAGGGGCGAGTCAGACCAGGAGCGGGAGAGGGGCGAGTCAGACCAGGAGCGGGAGGGGGGCGAGTCAGACCAGGAGCGGGAGGGGGGCGAGTCAGACCAGGAGCGGGAGGGGGGCGAGTCAGACCAGGAGAGGGGGGCGAGTCAGACCAGGAGCGGAGAGGGGGGCGAGTCAGACCAGGAGCGGGAGGGGGGCGAGTCAGACCAGGAGCGGGAGGGGGGCGAGTCAGACCAGGAGGGGGCGAGTCAGACCAGGAGCGGGAGAGGGGGGCGAGTCAGACCAGGAGCGGGAGGGGGGCGAGTCAGACCAGGAGCGGGAGGGGGGCGAGTCAGACCAGGAGCGGGGGGGCGAGTCAGACCAGGAGCGGGAGAGGGGCGAGTCAGAGAAGGGGCGAGTATCAGACCAGGAGCGGGAGGGGGGCGAGTCAGACCAGGAGCGGGAGGGGGGCGAGTCAGACCAGGAGCGGGAGAGGGGGCGAGTCAGACCAGGAGCGGGAGGGGGGCGAGTCAGACCAGGAGCGGGAGGGGGGCGAGTCAGACCAGGAGCGGGAGAGGGGCGAGTCAGACCAGGAGCGGGAGAGGGGCGAGTCAGACCAGGAGCGGGAGAGGGGCGAGTCAGACCAGGAGCGGGAGAGGGGCGAGTCAGACAGGAGCGGGAGAGGGGCGAGTCAGAGCGAGTCAGAGCGGGAGAGAGGGGCGAGTCAGACCAGGAGCGGGATCAGGCAGGTTAGACTATAGAAGCATGAGCATATGCAGGTCAGGCCTCAACTCTTTCCTAAAGGCAATTCTTGCATTTCATAGATTCCCATGCGATAGATATTGATGGTACTTGATTGCATTTCATTCATGTTGAAATTTCGTTTACTTTGTTGTAAAAAAAAAAAAAAAAAAGTTAGTGTTACTAAACCTGTGACCCTGCATTCACTATATCTGGTCTCCCACAGAACATGGAAATGCAATTATTTTAGTAAATATAAACTGCTAAATACCTTTTTCTCACCAGCAGTTAGAGCAGTCTTGTGACTTCTATTAGTGTCCAGCAGAGCACTGGTTAAAACTTGTAGGAGGAGTTTTCATTCACCCTGATTGTCTTATGAAGCTGCATAACCCCTGATCCTCTGCATGTGATCAGCACTGTCCAGACACTCTCCCAAGAGAAAACAAAAACTCTAGCAATACACACCAAACTGAGCATATGCACCTTGCCCCCAAGACTGTGCTATCAGCTGATTTATTAGGGACATTAGAAGGGGAGGATCAGAGAAAACAGGATCAAACATCCTTTTTACATAATGCGAAGTATTAACCCTTAGTAAAATCAGTGAGTATAACAAGTATGCATACTGTTATACAGACTGATTTTACTGTTGTGGGTTTAGTAACACTTTACCTTTTAAACCTTACAACATGGCCAATCTCCTGTTGTAAGCATCCTTTCATCACAGGCATTAGTTTCCTCACGCTGCCTATATTTTGTAAAAGCTATAAATCTCACCAAAATGCTTACCTCTGACTCGCTGTGGTACCTTCTTTCTCTTCATTTCCCTAATGATACCAATGCTAAAAAGAAGACAAAACAAAAGCAGTCTGTCTTGTGGCTTAGCGTGTCCGATTTTAAGCTTTGGACAGAACCAGTCTCTGAGCCATCTGCTTGAGCTATTCAGCTCTGTAAGCAACCTTTTTTTTTTTTTTTTTTTTTTTTTTTTTTACAAACGGTGGTAAAGGGACAAAGGAGATTTGTGAAAGGAGACTAGGGCTTAATATGCTGGATAAAAGACTAAATATTTGTAAGTAATATTTCATAATTACCTCAATTAAAAAAAAAAAAAAAAAAAAAAAATATATATATATATAAAATTTTTAGACCATTTTTGGTTCTGATCATTTAGAGATTTAATTATCCCAGTCCTGCATAGTGGAATTGAGGCCTAATTACTAATAACAGGGAATTAATCAATAGGCAAAATTAGTGATTTTGACCATTTAACCACCTCCCATCCGGCCGTTGTGTATAAACGGCCGGACGGTGGCAGTGCAGGGTCGTGTGGTCTTTTATAAATGGCCTCCCCGCCCCTTGATTGTGCGCGCTCCCTGGGAGCGTGCAGCACCGCGATCCGGTGCCTGCTGTGTCCTCCAGACACAGTGGAACAGCGATCATCGTATGGGACCTCTGCGAGGTCCTGATCATGTGATCACTGATTGGCCAATCAGTGACCACATGCAGAGTAGTAAGCAAGATGTCACTTCTAACATCATTGCTTACTACGTGTGAAATCTGTGAATGATCACAGAGGTCGCATGGTACAGGGCTATTCACAACAGCCTTGTACCATGTGACAAGCTGTGACCAATCCTAGCTCACACACTATTTTTCAATGGCTGCAAGAATGCAGCCAGAGAGGAGGAGAAATGATTGCTTTTACAGCCTTTATGGGTGTAAAGGCAATTGGTGTAAAAAAAAAAAAAAAAAAAAAAAAAAAAAAAATCATCACCCCCCACAAGTAGTACAGTGTCACCATGGTGACACTGTACTGCTAGGGTGACAGTATGTAAAAAAAAAAAATATATAAAAATGTAAACAAAGTTTAAAAATTATAATTTTTGGTTATAAACTAATTTGGGTTATATTTTTTTTTACTAAAAAGATAACTGAATAAATTTTGGCCCAGATTTATGATGAAATATTTATTTGTAAAAAAATAAACACTTTTTTTTTCAAAATTTTTGGACTTTTTCCTTTACATAGCAAAAAAAAAAAAAAAAAAAAAATCCCAGTGGTGAATAAATACCACCAAAATAAAGTTTTATCTGTCTCAAAAAAATGCTAAAAAATTAATATGGGTGCAGTGTTGCATGACCGTGCAATTGTCATTCAAAGTGTGATAGCGCTGAAAGCTGAAAATTGGCCTGGACAGGAAGGGGGTGAAAGAGTCCGGACTGGAAGTGGTTAATGATCAGACCTGAACTGCCAAAATCATTAACCATGAGAGCAGTATTATGTGTGAGTACGAGTCCAGCAGCCAGAGGTTCTACCACAATGGTGTATAGGAGGGGAGAAAGGGTACATCCCTAGTCTGGTGCCCCCGTTAAGTGGAAGAGTGTCAGATGTCCAACCAACACTATGACAATGGGAGAGTAATGGAGACGTAGCCATAAATCAAGGGCCAAAGCTGTGTGACGTTTGCCACAAAGAGTTCCATTCCGAAGACTCTTAGGGGTTTATTTACTAAAGCTGGAGAGTCCAAAATCAGACTCCCTTCTGCATAGAAACCAATCAGCTTCCAGGTCTCATTGCCAAAGCTTCATTGAACAAGCTGAGGTTAGAAGCTGATTGGTTTCTATGCAGAAGGGAGTCTGATT